TCTCCTAGAAATAAATAAAACATTAAAAAAAAAAACTGCCGTTCGAGGGGCGCCTGGGGGCTCCGTCGCTTGGGCGTCTGACTTCGGCTCAGGTCATGATCTCACAGTTCGTGGGTTCGAACCCCACGTCGGGCTCTGTGCTGACAGCTCGAAGCCTGGAGCTGCTTCGGATTCTGTGTCTCCCTCCCTCTCGCTCTGCCCCTCCCCTGCTCATGCTGTCTCTCTCTCAGAAATAAATAAAAATTAAAGAAAATTTTTTTTTCTTAAACTGACCATTCGGGCCTTGTGGTTTTACTCCTGCTGCACTTTAAGTTCCTGCACGTCTCATATTTATTTATTTAAAAAAATTTCTTTTAATGTATTTCTGAGAGAGAGAGACAGAGAGACAGGCAGCGTGAGTGGGGGAGGGGCAGAGAGAGGGGGAGACAGAATCTGAAGCAGGCTGCAGGCTCTGAGCTGTCAGCACAGAGCCCGACGTGGGGCTCGAACCCACAAACCGTGAGATCATGACCTGAGCCAAAGTCAGACGCTCAACCGATGGAGCCCCCCAGGCACCCCATACGTTTATTTTTCGAGTACATTTGGATGCTTTACTGAGCCCTCCACGCACCCCAATAAATGTATTTAAGTAGAGTCGGATGCTCTGCAGACTGAGCCCCCCAGGTGCCCCAGATTCCTGGCTCTTTTAAAGTTACCACTAGGGGCGCCTGGGTGGCTCAGTCAGTTAAGCGTCCGACCTCGGCTCAGGTCATGATCTCATGGTTCGTGGGTTCAATCCCCCAGTCCGGCTCTCTGCTGACGGTACAGGGCCCACTTTGGATCCTCTGTCTCCCCGTCTCTCTGCCCCTCCCCTGCACGTATTCTCTCTCTCTAAAACAAATGAACTAGGGGTGCCTGGGTGGCTCAGTGTCCAAAAAATAAATATTTTTTTTTAAATATTTTTATTTATTTCTAGGAGAGAGAGAGAGACAGCGTGAGCAGGGGAGGGTCAGAGAGAGAGGGAGATATAGACTCTGAAACAGGCTCCAGGCTCCAAGCTGGCCGTCAGCACAGAGCCCGACGCGGGGCTTGAACCCACAAACCGCGAGATCATGACCTAAGCGAAAGTCGGACGCTTAACCGACTAAGCCACCCAGGCGCCCCTAAATAAAAACATTTTTAAAAAATTAAAATAATCTTTAAAAAAAAGCGAATAAACTATTAAAAACATAGTTCCCATTTTTAATCCTTTTGGAAACATGGAAAACACCTGAAAAAGCTTATATTTTATCACTTTTATCCTCACAAATTCTTAAGGCTTTCTTATCATTGAAAATCACCGTGAAATAACCCAGACACCCTATGTCTGTGAAATCGCTTCAAAGAACAAATTACTCTGCTTTTAAAAGTTTAGTCTGAGACGCTGACAAGCAGAATTTCTTGCCTAAATCTTCAGGAACCTGACCTGGCATTATCCTCTCGTCCGCTTTATTTCAAAAAGCCAAGAGGAAATAATACTCCATTTATGGAGCGGGTATTTGCCGTGTTTCACACTGTGTAGACCCTGACGCCCTGACGGCTGGCACCGCCGGGAACTTCGGACTCAGCCCCGCTGTTTGCTCGTCACCTCACCCTCCTCCTGGGACTCCGGGCACCCTCCCCTGTTAGGGAGACAACAGCGGGACCCTCACCAAAAAGGGTGGTGGGGGGCCGCTTGGGGGCGCCATCACTCAGTGCTAAGGGGGAACACTCAGGGGCCCCAGATTCTGGCGTCAACAGGAAGACTCATCCCGGACGGACCCCAGCAGGGCACGGGGTGCCCTGGGGCTCCCGGGAGAAGCCCACCCCTGCAAGGAAGCAGTCAGAAACTGTCATCCGAAGCCTGGATTCTCTCTGGCTTCTTCCAGGGCAGCCGCCTCCCTCCTCCTCCACGAGCAACACCCCCGTCCGCAGAGCGCGTCACATCTGTGATTCCTTGTCCCCAGTCACAGCTCTTACTCCCAAATACACCCATGTTCGCAGGGAAAATACTGTTCTTTCAAGGGCTAACCTTACTGTATTAGAGCAGGGGCGTATGCTTGTTTTTGGTTAAAAATATGTTACAAACGCTGTGAGCGTATTTCAGACACGTTCTGCCGTATATGAGTTTCCCTGGAATGTTCACGTGAGTGCAGGCTCCCAGGAAGTGTCTTCCTGCCCCACGTCCCAGGCAGGAGCCCGTCTCACTGCGATCAGGCAACCAGCAGACGGCTGGGGACGCTCGGGAAGCACTCAGTGCAACGGGGTCAGAGTGGGCCTTCCCGGTCCTTCCGCAGGAGGCGCAGGGTCACGGGTGGTCCCATTCAGCCCGACACCTGCGGGCCCCGCTCTGACCGGCAGTCTGCACCTGCTGGGGCCGGCGTCCTACTGTGCACTGCGGCGCCCGTCACCACTTGGGGAGCCGGTCTGCCGGGCGTCCTACTGTGCACCGCAGTGACCGTCACCACCCGGGGACCTGGTCTTCTGGGTGTCCCACTGTGCACCGGTGCCCATCACTACCTGGGGAGCCGGTCGGTGCCCGTCACCACTTGGGGAGCCGGTCTGCCGGGCGTCCTACTGTGCACCAGTGCCCATCACTACTTGGGGAGCCGGTCTGCCGGGCGTCCCACTGTGCGCCAGTGCCCATCACTACCTGGGGAGCCGGCCTGCCAGGCGTCCCACTGCGCGCCACAGTGACCATCACTACCTGGGGAGCCGGTATGCCAGGCGTCCCACTGTGCGCCAGTGCCCATCACTACCTGGGGAGCCGGTCTGCCGGGCGTCCCACTGTGCGCCAGTGCCCATCACTACCTGGGGAGCCGGCCTGCCAGGCGTCCCACTGCGCGCCACAGTGACCATCACTACCTGGGGAGCCGGTATGCCAGGCGTCCCACTGTGCGCCAGTGCCCATCACTACCTGGGGAGCCGGTCTGCCGGGCGTCCCACTGTGCGCCAGTGCCCATCACTACCTGGGGAGCCGGTCTGCCGGGTGTTCTACTGTGCGCCGCAGTGCCCGTCACCACCCAGGGACCTGGTCTTCTGGGTGTCCCACTGCGCGCCACTGCCCATCACTACCTGGGGAGCTAGTCTGCTGGGTGTTCTACTGTGCGCCGCAGTGCCCGTCAGCATCAGGGGAGCCGGTCTGCCAGGCGTCCTACTGTGCGCCACAGTGCCCGTCACCACCCCGGGACCTGGTCTTCTGGGTGTCCCACTGCGCGCCAGTGCCCATCACTACCTGGGGAGCTAGTCTGCTGGGTGTTCTACTGTGCGCCGCAGTGCCCGTCAGCATCAGGGGAGCTGGTCTGCCAGGCGTCCTACTGTGCGCCACAGTGCCCGTCACCACCTGCGGACCTGGGCTGGCTGCTCGGTTAGGCTTGAAGCTCTGGGCTCCTGACATGAAGAGAGAGTGAGGCGCTGGGGGTGTTGGAGTGAGTGCAGCGGGGCGGGGGGAGTCTCAGCCATGAGAGCGAGCTCCAGGCCAGAGTACTCTCAGACATGAAAGCGAGTGCTGGGGGGCACTCTCAGACGTTAGAGCCAGTGCAGGGGGCGGGGTTAGTCTCAGACGCTAGAGCAAGTGCCAGGTGGGGCACTCTCAGACATAAGGGTTTCGGGGGGCAGCATAAGCTCAGGAAGCTCTGAGCCCCCTGTTTCGACAATAACGCAGGACAGACTGTTAAGGCTCTGCTGAAACCCTAGAAACAGGCGTGGGGTGCACCCCGCGCGGGAAACCGACTGTCCTCTCCCAGAAGGGAAACGAACGCGCTGCCGGCGACTGCCACACAGCCTGCGCCGACTACCACTCCGTGCTAAGCGCTTTGCACGAGCAGACAAAGCCGCTGAGGGACAAAATCGTCAGGGTCACAACAAAGGCCATTCCCCCCAGGACCCCTGCGGCCAGCAGGAAGACAGAACAAGGCACCGACCTTCCCCAGCGGTGTCAGGTGCCGTGAGGCCTGAGCCCCGGGCCCGCGGGGCGGCTGCCCAGGGTCCCTGATGACCCCGCTCACGTCCGCGTCGAGCGGGTGCACCGCGACCCTGGCGCGGCCCGCACCCTCCCCGGGCCGGGCCTGATTTAGATCCGGAGAGCGGCACTAGGACCTTCGAGTCCCCAGGGACCCCCTCCGGGGAGTTCAACGTGCCCTGTGGGGCAGCGGCTCCAGGGACCTGCCCACCTCCCGCGGCTCATGCCTCCTGGGCCCGCGCTGTGCTGCCGGGTCCCCCTAAACCCTGGGCAGGAAACCCCAGCCGTCCCCCCCTCCTCCACTCCAGCCCTCCGCGCCTAACGCCCTCCGGTCCTCCCACGGCGCCCCCACAGTCCGGTCGAGCTCCGCCCCCACCTGAGGACCCCGACTGCCCCCTCTCCTCGCCTCGCCCTGGACTCGGCGCCTCGCAGGCCATCCGTGCCTCGTCCCAGCTAAGGACCCGGGCCGCCCCCTGCCCCTCCCGCGGTGCCCCAGGACTGCACTCCGGCCCCGCCCGTATTTAAGGCCCCCGGGCGCCCGGCCGCGCCCCGCCCGCTACTAAGGACTCCAGGGCCGGCCCTTCCGCTCTTCCCCCGCTCCACCGTCCGGTCCGTCCCCTCCCCTCCCCCCTCCCAGGACGCCCCTGTTGGTTCCTACCCACCCCTACTTAACGACCCCAGCCCTGCCCACGGCGCCTCCTCAGTCCATCCGCGCCTTGCCTCCAACTAAGGACTCCTGGGGCTCCCCGCCCCCCACCGCCATGGCGCCCCTGCACAGTCCGTCCGTACCCCGCCTCAACTAAAGACACCGGCCTCCCCCCCGCGCCCCGACCTTCTCCGACTCCCCAGGACTGTGCATTCCTGCCCACTCCTGCTGAAGGGCCCCGGGCCGCCACCCCCGCCCCTCCCCCTGCTTACGGATCCTTCCTAGCTCTTGCCCCGCCCCCACTCAACGCCCGGGGGTCTCCCCAGCCGCCCCGGCCTCCCCAGTTCGCGGGCCCCCCAGCCTCCTCCTTCCCGGTCACTAAAGTCCCGTTCCTACCGGCACCGCTCGGCGCGGCCGCCCGGTGCTCAGCCTCTGCTCCCGCGCTCGGCCGTCCCGCCACGCGGCCCCCGCGCCCGCGCCCAGGCCTTCGGCCTCTTCCGTCACTCGTCTGCCTCCATCGCTCCACAGCGGCTCAGCTTCGGACCTTTCCGCTCCGTCTCCGCCCTTTCCATCCGCCCTCGTCAGTGCCCGCCGCCACTCGGCCATCTCCGTCCTTGCTCGGCCCGCGCACGGCCCACTCCTCCCCTCCGCGGTCTTTCCGGGCGCGCGCATTCCTGGCTTTGACTCGGGGACGCCCCCTGTCGTTCGGGCCGGGGGACCCGCGCACGCGCTCTGCGGTTCCTCCCGTCTCCGGGGAAGGCTCGCGTTCTCTGCAGATGCAGTTCTCAGGAACCCAAGCAGCATGGTCTCAGAGCGAGTGGTTAGGGCGCAGGAGTAGGGGTGATATCAGGAGCAGACGTCAAGGATCAGAGAGGTAGGGGTTGGGATTAAACTCTAACAAGGCTTGGATTCAGGTTTTAGATTCAGGGTTTGGGTTTGTGTTAGGGTTCTGGCTTACAGTTCTCTCCTAAGCGTTAGGGTTAGGGTTCAAACGGATTTTAGGTTACGATTTGGGGATATCGTGTACTGAATAGGGGTGAGGGTGAGGGGTTAGAGTTAGGGTTAGGGTGAGAGTTACATGTTAGGGGTTAGGGTTTAGAGGTTAGGAGTTAGGGTTTAAGGTTAGTTTTAGGGGTTAGGGTTAAGGCTTAGGGCTTAGGGTTGGGTTAGGGTTATGGTTAGGGGTAGATCCCAGGAGGCATCCGGCCTTGAGCCGCCAGCAGCGCGGTGGTCTACCCCAGATGGCTGAGTTGTGGGCGCATGGGAGGCTGCTGGTCAGCCTTCAGCCTTGGCTTCAAAGGCCAGCCTCCTCTTTGGCCTAGGCTACAGGTGGGCCTCAGGTGCCCCCTCATGCAGCTCCATCCACGTTTTGGAAATGGCATGGTGATGTTCCGTGTGCCACGCCGAGTCATCCTGCACTGCTTCTGGCCTGGGGCCCCGGTTTTCTCAGATCCCAGACTTGGGGGTTCCCGTTCGGAGAGAGCCTGGGCTAGGTAGGGTTAGGGTGCATCTGGGGGAGGCGCCAGGGCTGAAGTGGCACCAGCCCTGCGATCTCCTGGGAGGACTGAAACGAGGGCCCGTGCGCTGGGCTGGGTCAGGTTAGGGTTCCAGTGAGCCTTAGGGGTACGGCTAGAGTCAGGCTGTGGTGGGGGCTGGGTCAGGTTAGGGTTCCAGTGAGCCTTAGGGGTACGGCTAGAGTCAGGCTGTGGTGGGGGCTGGGTCAGGTTAGGGTTCCAGTGAGCCCTAGGGGTACGGCTAGAGTCAGGCTGTCGTGGGGGGCTGCGTCAGGTTAGGGCTCCAGTGAGCCTTAGGGGTACCGCTAGAGTCAGGCTGTGGTGGGTTAGGGTCAGGGTTAGGGTCTGAGCTCAGGATGCTCCAGGAGCTGATCGGCCCACAGCTAATATCCTCCTCAGTGGGGAAACCGGAGAGCCTTTCCTCTGGGATGAGGAACACGACAGCGATGTCCACTCTCCCCACTGTTGTCCAACATAGCGCTGGAAGTCCTAGCATCAGCCAGCAGACAACAAAAGGAAATAAAAGGCATCAAAATTGACAAAGAAGACATCAAATGTTCACTTTTTGAAGATGACATGATAGTATGTACGGAAAACCTGAAATATTCCACCAAAAGGCTGCTAGAACTGGTCCATGAATTCAGCAAAGTTGCAGGGTACAAAAATCAACGTACAGAAATCGGTTGCATTTTTTTAAATTTTTTAATGTTTTTTTTTTAAATTTATTTCTAGGAGAGAGAGAGAGACAGCGTGAGCAGGGGAGGGTCAGAGAGAGAGGGAGTCACAGACTGAAACAGGCTCCAGGCTCTGAGCTGGCAGTCAGCACAGAGCCCGACGTGGGGCCCAAACCCATGAACCGCGAGATCATGACCCAAGCGAAAGTCGGTCGCTTAACCGACTAAGCCACCCAGGCGCCCCAGAAATCGGCTGCATTTTTATACACCAATAATGAAGCCCCAGAAAGGGAAATAAAAGAAACTGATCCCATTTACAATTGCACCCAGAATAATAAAATATCTAGGAATAAACCTAACCAAAGATGTAAATGATCTGTAGGCTGAAAACTGTAGTAAGCTTGTGAAGGAAATTGAAGAAGACAGAAAGCAGTGAAAAAATATTCCATGCTCATGGATTGGAAGAATAAATATTGCTAACATGTCAATACTACCCATAGCAATCTACACATTCGGTGCAATCCCAATCCAAGTTGCACTGGCATTCTTCTCAAATCCTAAAATTTGTAAGCAACCATAAAAGACCCCAAATAGCCAAATTACTACTGAAGAAGAAAATCAAAGTGGGAGGCATCGCAATCCCAGACTTTAGCCTCCTTCAAAGCTGTAATCCTCAAGACAGGATGGTATTGGCACAAAAACAGACACATATACCAGTGGAATAGAACATAGAACCCAGAAGTGGACCCATAAACTTATGGCCAACGAATCCTTGACAAAGCGGGAAAGAGTATCCAATGGAAAAAAGACAGTCTCTTTAGCAAACAGTTCTGGGAGAATGGGATAGCAACATGCGCAAGAATGAAACGAGACCACTTTCTTACACCATATAGAAAAATAAACTCAAAATGGACAAGAGACCTAAATGTGAGACAAGAAATCATGAAAACACTGGAGAAGAAAATAAGCAACAACCTCTTTGACCACAGCCTCAACAATTTCTTGCTTGACACATCTCCAAAGGCAAGAGAATTAAAAGCAAAAATGAACTATTGGGACCTCATCAGATAAAAAGCTTCTGCACTGCAAAGGAAATAATCAACAAAGCTAAAAGGCAAGTGATGGAATGGGAAAAGATATTTGCAAATAACATAACAGAAAATGGGCTACTATGCCACATTGATAAAAAAAACTTACCAAATTCAACACATAAAAAACAATCCAGTGAGGAAATGGGCAGAAGAAATGAATAGACAATTTTCCAAAGATATCCAGATGGCCGACAGACACATGAAAAGATATTCCACTGACTCATCATTAGGGAAATACAAGTCAAAACCACACTGTGATACCACTTCATGCCAGTCAGAGTGGCTAAAATGAACAACTCAGGAAACTACAGATGTTGGTGAGGATGTGGAGAAACGGGCAGCCTCCTACACTGTTGGTGGGAATGCAAACTGGTGCAGCCGCTCTGGAAAACAGTGTGGAGGTTCCTCAAACAACTAAAAATAGAGCTATCCTACAACCCAGCAATAGCACTACTAAGAATTTACCCAAAGGATAGCAGAGTGCTGATTCATAGGGGCACATGTTTACAGCAGCGCTTTCAGCAATAGCCAAATTATGGAAAGAACCTAAATGCCCATCAACTGATGAATGGATAGAGAAGATGTAGTTTATATGTACAATGGAATACTACTTGTCAATGAGAAAGAATGAAATCATGCCACTTGTAGCAACGTGGATGGAACTGGAAGGGATTATGCTGAGTGAAATACGTCAGTCAGAGAAAGACAGATATCCTGTGTTTTCACTCACACAGGGATCCTGAGAAACTTAACAGAAGTCTATGGGGAGGAGAAGGGGAAAAATAGTTACAGACAGAGAGGGAGGGAGGCAGACGACAAGAGACTCTTCAGTGCAGAGAACAAACTGAGGGTGAGTGGACGGGTGGGGGAGGTAAAATGGGTGATGGGCACCGCGGAGGGCACTTGGTGGGATGAGCACTGGGTGTTGCATGTAAACGAAGTTGACAATAAATTATATTTAAAAACAAAACAAAAAAGTGGCCTACAAAGCTTCCCTACACCTCCAGAGGTTTCCTACGGGTGCACGATGACCTCTTCTGATTCCTGAGTCTCTATCCCAGCCTTCCCGGGCTGACTTGCTCAGCAGCCAGCGTGGGCTACCTCGTGTTTCCTGTCCTGGTGGGCCTGAGCCCTCACTGGCCAGCAGGGACCTTCCAGGTTTGTCTCCGTGCTGTGTAATCACGGGCAGCTTCTTCCTGAGCCTCTTTTCATCTAAACTGGAAAATAGGGGTTAAAACCTTCCCGAGTGACCTTGAGGATTACAGCTGATGAAGACCAGGCACCTGACAGGCTGTGGACCCAAGTTAAAGGTAGACCATCCTCCTCCTCCTGTCTTCACAGAATTTGTTCTTTACAGGAAGGAGGAAGAATGTGAACCCCCTCCTTTGGGATCTGCAATCCACCACCAAGCCTATAGCTGTCTTCCAGTAAATTGTTTATAGCATGATGGAGTTAGCAAACTTCAGCCTGTGGCCCCAATCTGGCCTCCTGTTGTGTAAATTTTGATGTGAACACAGCCATGGCCGGGCACCAGAGGGGAGAAGCTGAAGTGAAGATCGGTCCTGTGAGGCCAAGAATATTTTTCCTAACTGGTCCTGTATAGAAAAAGCTTGCCAACCACTGGACAAAGACCATTTCTATGTGAGCTGGGATTTGTGCTATGGGCCTATTCAATCCGAGCTGGAACAGTTTCAATGGGCCAACTTGGCCAACAAGGGTTAAATGCCATGGGCTCAGTGCTCAGGGAGAGGGTGCACATGTGTGTTGTCCTGGAATTGTGACCCGCGGCCCTGCTCCCAGAAAGCTTACAGTCTGTGCGGGTGAACCAAGCAAGAGCCACAGCCAGGAAATTGAATTTAGGTTAGTATGAAGGATAGTTCTGACCTTAGAATCTAAATGGGCCTCGGTTTCCCCATCTTCCTAACAGCCATAATAGACCTTCTACCTTCATAGCCTTATTAATGACTTAAATGAGCTACAAAAGTGAACTTCTACAGTGTCGGAGATACACGAGCCCTTTCCTCCCAACTGTGGCTAAAAATGGTGTCCATCTTCTAACCTGAGGCCTCCCCCTCCTGAATCCATGTGTCCCGGGGCCAGCTTCCCCTCCTTCACTTCCCTGTACATACCGTCTTCTCTAGCCAGCAGACCCCTTGCTGCACTGCCGTACCCCTCCTTGATCAAGGTCCCTGCCCAGGCGCCCTCCCTCGGCCTCCCAGTGTGGACAGGCCATGGCAGGTGGCCTCGCTCGGTGAGCAGGCCCAAGGCGGTTTCCCAGGTGGGGACCCCAAGCTGACAGCGTAAGGGCATCACCAAGGGTACCAGGGTCCCTGAAGC